TCCACTGCAAGTGCGTGGGAAAACTTGCCTCCTGGCCTTGAGGAGCCTCTACCATCTTCTTCAGAACTTTATGCCTTGCAGGGCAACAGACTGCTCCGTCTGAACCCCTGGCAGAAAGGAGTGCTTGGTGGCCACAGTTCTGCCCCTCTATAGAGCAGCGCTGAACTAAAAGAAAGCAACTCCAAGAGTGGACAGGGGCAAAATACTTTTTTCTTTAATTGTTGTTTCTCAGTACAATAATTTAACACACACAAAAAAGAGGCGGTGACCATCATACAGATCCTCAGAGAAGCTAAGGACATGCATTCTCACCCTTTCAAAATAAAAACTGCTAGTCCCGTTGAGATGAACACCATCTCAGGGAAGGGGAATAGAAAGAATAATCTCCCTTGTTCTTTATGTGATTTTCCCCTTGCTTGGTATTTTTACATGCCAGTTCTCACCAAGGTGATAAAGCTGCACCTTGCATGTACCAGTTCAGGCCGCCGGCGACTAGTCATGGGACAGAAAGCCTCTCTTTGCAAATAACAAATGCATGATCTGTTGAAAGAAAGTGTGTTTACAAAAGGTTTCTAACTCCGCCTTCTGCAGGAAATGCTAGTTTCCCAGGTGTAGATTTTTCTTTCTATAGGAAGGTCAAGCTAAAGCAGTTTTCTCCAACATTATGTTCTGTAGATTCTCCTGCTACAAACTGCAAAATCTCCACCGACACTTAAGGACTTAGAGGAAGACTCTGCTTAAATATTAAGGAGCCTCATGATGTACTGGTTAAACTATAGTACTGCAGTCAGGGCCCTACGAATGACCTGACCTGGTTGACTCAGCCCTCTGAAGTCAGTAAACAGTGATGTACTGGTTTTAAACTATAGTACTGCAGTCAGGGCTCTACTAATGACCTCGTTGACTCAGCCCTCTGAAGTCAGTAAACAAAGTACCCAGCTTGCTGGGTGGACAATGTGTAGCCTGTTGCAAACTGCCCAGAGAGCGCTTAAAGCACTACGGGGCGGAATGTAAGCAGCACTCTTTGCTTTGCATTTGGGCCAGAGATGAGGGGGCAGAGTGGAGCAAAGCAACTCACAGGGATATGAGCAGCCTACTATATTACACATTTGGTGCAAGGGAATACAGAAAGACTGCTCTTTTCTGACACAGTCCAAGGCCATCTAGCCCTGCCCTATTCCTGAAGTAGGACATTCACTGCTACACAGCACTGTTAATCAGTCGCCATCCAGCTTCTGCCTAAGACTGGGTCAGCCAAATGGAAATGATTGACACTGGGGACAAGTCAAATGAAAGAAAATGCTTCTTTCAAAGACCACACAACAGAGTCAATGCATCTTGCCACCCACGGGGCCATGCCCAATGCTGGAGAGCTCTGAAGAGGGGCTAGATCAATATCTGCATGGTGGTGGTGACATTTAAAGGAAACAAGGGGTTAAGAAACATACCTGTAAAAATCAACAGATGGGAACCAAAAGCCGGGGGAAGCCTTGGGAAGCCCTTTCATCCCAAGAAGAGAAGGCAAATTCAGAAGAGTTGTGACAGGCTATGTTCCAGCCAGCAGCGGGCAAGGTTAAAAGACAGGCCCCATACACCTGCATAATTTGGCTTAGAGCTCTGATTGCTAGCAACTAAACCTTTGGAGAGATTATTTCAGACTTTCTGAAGAGAATGAAAGTTGCATAAATAAAAGCAAGCAAGCTGGGAAATACCAAATGATGGCATGGGGGGGGGAAACACCGTCATCTTAGAACTGCAGAGCTGGAAGGGACCCTATGGATCAAGGAGTCCAGCCCATCAAGGAGGCCCAGCGGGGAATCAAACTCCCAACCTCTGGCTCTGCAACCAGAAACCTAGGCCACTGAGCTATCTAGCAGCAGCTGTCTGGGGAATCCCAAACAGCTGGTCTTGGACTCCAGGACAGACTAGCTATGTCCCCAGGGCTAGTATGTTTTCCCCACCTCAGCCTACAAGGCAACCCATCTGCTTGTAATTAAAGACTGGACTTCGAACTACACTGATGCCATCTTGTGTACACGGTGCCAACCTATTTAGACCCCTCTGATGAAACATACCTTAGCTTAAGGGTTCTAGTGGCAACAGCAAAGCCTTGGGATCAAGGGTCCAACCTTCCGAAAGGAAACTCAAAAAAAGGGGGGGGGGAGAGGATGATGTGGAAAGTGGCGAAGTCATCTGGGAAACCCAAGGATCAGACCGGATCCAGGACCAGAGGTCCCGCCAGCCTGCTTCAACAGCCTTGCTCGAGAGCATCCTGTGGGAATCTGAGCAGCCAAAAACATGAGATCTAACCAAAGCTCAGTTTCAGAAGCAGGACGGCTTCTCTCAACGGGGGTGGTCCCATCAAATGAATTCATTATCCCCCTCCACCTACCCCTTTGCTATCTGAGGTGGAGTAACACGATACAGGTTTAACAGAAAAAAGGGCGAGAAGGCAAGCTCGGCGCAGCTTCAAGGGCCAGAGTGCCAGCATGTTTATCCCCGACGGCTGAATCCACCAAGAACGACGGGATCAAACATGGGGAAATTCCCCATTTGCTGCACAGCTGCGGCCGTTTGAGGACAAAATGAGGAGAGTCACTAGTGGGAGCGGGGGGGGGAGGCGCTTCGGGTTCAATGATTTTCCCCATGTCTGGTAACATCGCTGTGCAAAACTCTGACTCAGTAACCTCAGTGGAATCGCGGATCTCTGAAACTGTCCCACCCTCCAAACCTTGGACGGTCATTTTAAAACCAAAGGGCCACTTTTTACTCTAGTTTTACTGTCCCGCAGCACCACTTCCCAGTAACATTTGCTGGGGTGCCTATGCTGCTCTTTGGGTTCCCTCTTACTTCCTGTCCAGATTTCAGAAATGTACAAGGATGTGGCAGGGAACTTTCAGCCTCACGGAGGCAGGTATCCTGCAACTCAGACCCTCCCCTACCTTCAGCTGCTTAAGAGGCTGGGGATTCAGAGTTTACCTCCCACTTCTCAAGAGAGCCGAGCAACCGGACTGACTTTACCAAGGCTCTAGTTTACCTTCACAGCCTACGCTCCCAGCCGTTGCCTCATTCAAGCCTCTTCATTTCCGAAGTGTATGCATGCCCCCCTCTGGTTGCTATGTTGAAAAGAGGTCAGGTTAAGGGGAATTGGAAGACCCTTCTCGGAACACGTGGGTCTTAAGGAGCACCACATCCTGGCTCCAGATCCCCTTGCGTTAATCCCATGCAAAGCCCCACCTGGTTTGTGTTTTTTTTTCCCTGGTTACTTTTTGGCTCAAGGAAGTCCAGGTTTTACTAGAAGATCTCAAGCTCTCCTAAAAAGGAAACACAGCCCCCAGGATCCCCATGGATCCTGAGCCCCAGAAATGGGTGCCAAAGAGCAACCAGCTAGAATAGAGGGAGGGAAGATTAGTTTCAGGGGGGGGGAGAGGAAGAACTGGCATTTTAGGTGCTCTGAATGGGTGGTGAGAACGAACCACACACTTCCTTCTTGCTCAAGGCACAGGGCGGTCTCGTGTTCATTCTTACCTGCTTCCTTTAACTGAATTAGAAGGCTCTGTGGGGGTCGCCAACAGCCTGCCCACACCAAGAACCTTCTCTGTGCTGGTGAAGAGGTCGCCCCAGGAGAATCGAAAGGAACAACGGTGCCAGACAAGCAGAGTGGCTTTTAAGGCTGCGCTGGCACCAGCTCGGTGCTGTTGCAACGACAACAGGATAGGGTCCTTCCATAGGGGAATTTGCACATCTAATGGGCAGAACATGGTAAATCTCTTAGCACAGGGCATATGCTATACTTGACTATCCGGGGGGGGGGGGCTCTGCAGCCCTTCACATAACTCTGGGACACTACGCAGCTACTCTCTCCTCCATCTCTGAACAGGCATTCCCAGAGGGGTTTCCTAGTACCACGAAGGGCCAGGGGGGGGGGGGGGGGGAGGAAGAGGAAGGAGAGAAAAGAAAAAACTGGACACCTACCGCTTCATCAACCTTACCTAGAAATCAGAACAATGTTTTGTGTCAGCAAAGGAGTGTTGGGCAGTAACTGTTTGCGCTACCCTATTGTCAAAGAGATGAAAGAGGATCAGAAATCCAGGAAGAGAGAAATGGAAATAGCCACGGGATACCAAAGCAGAAGCCCTGAATCTGAGCAGGCCAAGGGGAACAGAGTGGACATGGGAGCTGAGGCGGGGGACAGGGTGTGATAACAACTTAGAAACGGTGTCATAGTGGTGCTAGTGTTCACAGAGTCAGAAACAGTTAAATAGCCTGCCTTGATCTACATCCCTGCTCCCCCTTCCTTGCTACATCCTACACAGTAACTGGGGTGGATAAAGCCTCCCAAGAACAACAGACTTGTTAGCTACCCCTGCTGTCACGCGAACTCTTTTAGCAGCCGGCAGAGTCTTGAATGGGCAACTAAGACCCATTAGTCCTACAAAAGACCTGTCCCTGCATGGAGATGAAACCCTGGGCCAACACAATTGCAGGTGTTTTTGAACTCTCCTCCTGCCCAGTGCCTAGGAGACGGTCATTCAGAGGACCTGCTTCCCCCCCCCCCAGAATTCCCCACCACACAACACTGGGGAGAAGAGCACTGCGTGGAATTAAGACATTGAGCCTACGGTCTTTGGCCCTGGGCCTCCCAAATGATTTCACGACTACACCCTAAGTATGAGTGGAGCTGCCAGTTTGGGGGGGGGCAATCCAGGAGGGGGTTCTTCAGAGCACGGAAGGGCAATCCCAGCCTCAGAAAACAGCACACGTCAGCCTGTTGTCTAACGATCCCGACGCATGCGCCCCCTACTCAATGGAGGGAAAAGCCATTAAAGGGGATGTGTTTTTTAAGCACATTCCATCATGTGATGCGCCTGCCTAGGCTTGTGAAATACCAAGACCTTGCCACAGTCAAGTAGCGGCATGTTCCGTATGCAAACAGGCGAAGGACCCCTTTCGGAAAATGGGAATAGTAGGGTTTGAAAATCGGCCTTCCGTGGGGATACAGTTCTTTGTCTTTTCTAAGCAGGTCACTGTACATCTGATCGTATGTCGTTTTGAAATCGTAAACGTTGGGCTTGTCCGGCGCGGGTCCCGGAAGCTTCACATGCGTCCCGGTGCCGAAGGATCGAACGCTGAAGCCGCGTTTGCTGGAAGACACAAAAAGAGACAGGAAGAGAGAAGAGAGGAGCTTTATTATTTGGAAAGATAACGAATGTATATCTCTCAGAAGAACAATGTCAATCATTCATAGTGGAAAGGGAGAAAAAGGGTGGGTTCTGAAAAAAATATACCAAACCACCCTTGAAACAGCACATATATTCATTATACTACTGGGGATTTAGAAGAGAAACAGCAGTCCAGGGGGAGGGGAGCTGTTCCGGTCAGTCAAGTTCACAGCATGAACTCCATCAGAACCAAAACTGGACCCCCCATGATCTGTACTGAAGTGTGACTGTGTAGACACAGCAGAACACGTCTCTGCTGCAGATCAATGAAGCTTCGGCAAGCACCCCGGGGAGGCAGAATACCACAAGTTTAAATGTTGGGTGTCTCTAACACACCAAAAGTTGTTCTCATGCTTCATCTGACAGCAGAATTTTAAAAAATTCCGTCCACCCAAATAACGGCTGACTGATCAACCCATCTGCTACAGCTAATGAAGGAGCGGACAGCAGAGGAGACAGACAAGAGGTGAGTGTTCCTGGAAGGCAGCGCCTACTCTACGTTCACCCAAGGTGACAGGCATTCACATATTCAGGCAACCATGAATCCAACCATATGGAGCAAGGGCTGTTTTGCCTTCTGGGCAGGACCACCCAGCATCAAAAACACTTGTTTCCAATGCTTTTTATATGTGTCCGTAATAAAGGGAAGGAACCTCTCCTAAAGAAGAATGCCCCCACTATTTCTTACTTTCTACATCCTTCACAAAGTAAAGGAGAACCTACTTTTATCCTCGAATATCCCTGGGAAGCTCCTAAGTGGGGCATCAAGACAAAGAGCAGACAAATACAGGGCAGAATCCGACTGCCAGCGTACCCCCTGCTGATAGGAAATCAGGCAGCATACTGCCACCAAGACAACACGATTTCCTTTGCACAAGAATAAACTGGGGACAGGATTCGGACCACTGTTTTCCACCCTCCGCAGAAGTACAGTTTCTCCATCGACAGCAGAGTGCACAGATGGAAAGAACTGTTCCACACACTATAGGCGCCCAAGTACTTTCCATTTCTTGCCTAGTAGATTTAGGGATGTCAGTATCCCAGTCTCTGTGTGGGCATGCCATAAAGGGAGAATGGGGACTGCCATTATAAAAGGAAATACATTTTACTAGTCACCTGCTCCCAAATGCACGGTTCGCCATACAGAGAGACCCATGTATGGCGATACCGACCGTGTTGTCTACTGAAGAGTTGAGATACCAAAATAAAATTAAAAAAAAAATAAAAATAAAGTCTGATGAAAATATCCAATGGCCAAGGATCCACAGCAGCTGGCTTGCTTCCTTAGCTAACCACCATTTGTATCTCGGAGAGGCAGTGCTGGAAGGGACCCCATGAATCATGTAGTCCAGCCCATCAGGGAGGCCCAGTGGGGGGAATCAAACTCCCAACCTTTGGCTCCGCAGCCATGTGCCTAAACCGCTGAACTATCCAGCAGTCCCAAGACTGGGCATTCAGTTGCGCTCAATAACCAGCACACGCAAGGTTCTGTCAGGTCAGCTGAACTGTCTTGGGAGGAAGCAGCTGGAGACACACATACACACACACACACACTCCAAACTGAAAAGGGCACAATAGAAAACTCGCAGCCCCAGGCTTATTTCTCCAAGCCACTACAGTATTCCCAAACTCCCAAGTTCTGGGGACACAAAATGGCTGCACAATAGCCCAAGGAGCAGCACATGCACTCTCTCTCCCGGCCATTCGCAAAACAAGGAGGAAGGCGACAGAGCCCAGCCTTCCTCAAGTCATGATTTTTTCCCCCATGCCCAGTAACTTCTTTTATATTGGGTTTCCGCCATCCCGTGGCTTCTGCCATCTGTACACTGTCAACATCCAGAATGGCCTGACTCTCCTCCCATCTGCGGTTCTGCTACGCACTTTGGAAAAGGCAGACCTCTGATGGCGTCACTCCTTCCAATAGGAATATTGCTTCTCAAGAACAGTTCGCCCGTGGTTACGTGCGGCTGGGTGGTTAAACCACAGAGGCATCACCGTTACAGAACGCCACCATCACCCTGAGCACCAACTAAAGTCAAGGCTCAACACCCCAGAAAAAAGTCTGGATGCATCGCTAATTGCTTCCTGTGACAGTCCTTCTGTGTCCATCACCCAGGTCTGCCAACAGTGGGGAAAGTTAATTCTCCGTCTTCCTGGCATATCACGTTTTTTTCTCTTCACATGAGCGCGAGCAGTCTTGCTTCCGCTCCTCTGCTTCAAGTCTGTCCCCTCTCCTGATAGCCAGGAGAAGGGTGTGTTTTTCTGGGAGGGAGAAGACGTAAGCTAGCAAATCACGGACGTGCCCAAGAAGAGCAGAAGGCAAAGAACTAACAGGAGCAAAGGCGTTGGGTTTCTTAATATTAGTGTTATTATCGCCCGTTTGGCATTTCGAGGACACTATCGTTCTCCCACCCCTCGAAGCAGGAAATAAATGCTTTGGAACTGTGTTAAATGCCACTCGGCAGGAATCAAGGCCCGTTGGTTGCATAAAAGCTTACCAAACAACGTTATGCAAGTACCACAGTTCATGGTGCTTTGCTACACATGGAGAGCCACTCAGAAGCCCAGCCCTCTCCCCACCAGGGAGCTGGAACACTCCCGTTAACACTCAGGCCATTAAAGAAATCTGTTAAGGCCCCAACTCGCACGTTCAGTAGATGGAGCACCAGAATGCGCCTTGCTGGCTTTGGAAAATATGCTTCAGCTCTTCTGGACCTGGAATGTGCCCATATCCCCTCATGCTTCACAGTCCCCAAGGCACCATGCCACCCCTTGTTTCTAAGAGCGAGAGACAGAGAGCCTTTAATCGTTGTGGGAGAGGAATTACTGAGAGATCCATCTTATAAGAGCAAGACATTTCTGAAACCCACCCACCATGATTCATAGTTTCTCCTTCTCCTCCTTTTCCCCAGACCTCTCTTTCTCTCTCACACACACACAACCTGTTTCGAAAACAGAGAGAACGCAACAGGCTCGCTCCCGCTCAAGCTAATGTCAACGTGAACCATATTGTTCCTGCTACTGACCTCTTTATAGATGAGCTACAACTGTGCATCTCAACCTCCAATTTAGTGCTTGCATTTTACACATACAAACACAAAGGTAAACAGCAGGGCTGGGCTGAGTGATTGAAATCACAATTTAAATTTTTTTTTAAAAAAAAAGTTTTTTATGATTTAAATTTTAAAAATGGTTTTTGGATTTAAATCAACTTGATTTTTTTTTAAAAAAATCATTGATTTTTCTCCTCCACCGCAGCAGGACTAACAAGAGCATGGCAAAGGTGACTCTTTTAGATTACTGTTCCAATAACCGCCCCCCCCTCCACCAGCCTGAGCAAAATCCAAAAAAAGGGAGGAAATTGTACAAGCTTAGGGAAAGTAATTGCTCTCTTACAGATTTAAACCAGCTAGCTGAATGCCACCGATATGGGGCCAGCTGTGGAGTTCTGAGAGCTTTCATCCAAAACGGTAACTTTCCCCAGACTGGGGGCTAACACTAAACCAGAAAGGAGGAAGACACACACCCCTCCATGTACTAAATAGCTTCTTAGGCATTAAGAGATGATGGCATTTCTTCTGCTCTGGACTTCCATGGAGATTTCCTCATCCAGGTCCTGTAGGCAACAGTCTATGGGGTGCACTTAATTATCTGCCCCGTTCGTCCCTTGAGTGGCCCAAGTGAATAGCGTCCAGAAGAGTGTATGAAGGCCCTCCCCAAACACGCGACAGTCTATGGGGTGCAATTAATTATCTGAGTGGCCCAAGTGAATAGCGTCCAGAAGAGTGTATGAAGGCCCTCCCCAAACACGTGACAGACACAGCTAATAGCATCTGATGGATCGCTATGAAGCAGGTCAACGGAATCTGTCAGCAAACTGAACGCCCGCAGTCCAAGAAAACAGTTTCCACTCCAGGAACTGACGTCCAATTAAAAGGAGTCTTAACCTGCTCTTCCTCAACCACCTAGGGACACATGCCTATGAACACAGGAGTTTTGATTAATGGCTATATAGGGCAAGACGAATTCACTCAGTGGGATTACTGCCCTATCATGACAGGGTTGGGCAGTTTAATCTAGATTAAGCTCTTCTGTTTGCCCATCTCAACCAACAAAAGGTTGCCAAAAAAATGCATAGGAATATACAGGTGCGACACAGAAGCTAGAAACGTGGGATTTTTTAAAAATAAGTTTCTCAGGAAACTGATCAAACCATCTCAGGAAGCTAAGTCTCACCTCTACTCTCACACGGTCACGCATACATACCTAACTACACGCGCTACATCCGCAACTCTCTAGCCAGCCTTTTGTGTTGTGGAAACACATTCCTCATCCTCCAGAGGGGACGTTCACGTGGTGGGGAGGAAATTATATATAGAACTGCCTTCCAGCAAGAACATAATACTGCCCACTTCAACTGGTAATGAAGATTTCAGACAAATCTGGGATCCTTGAGACCCAGCTCAACCCCTGCCTCACCATGGGGAATATTCCTCTTGAGTCCCCCTCCCTTGGTTCCCTCATACCTCCCAAACACAAAACGCACCGCAGTGCTCTGTTGCAGTCTTCTGAGGCAGCACATTTTGGGAGTCTGTACATGACAGTCAGGGGAATTAAGCTTAAGCAGCCTACAGGAGGGCCCACAGAAATAGCGTACCTCCTTAAGCATCTGCATCAGCTTTCTGGGCAATACCCGGATTGCAACTCTTTTGTCCCCTCTGCAACCCGGACCAAACGACGAGGTTCAGAGGGGAGCAAAACAATGCAGGGCGGTTGCGCTACTGCAGCAGTCGCCTCCAAAATAGCAAATAAGTGATCTGCCTCAGGGTGCTTTTAACTCTTGGAATTTTATTTTCCCTTCACTGGCTTTTGTTGCCAACTCTAGGGAGGCGGGGAGGCGATGCGGAGGAGCCACCAGCCGG